TCAATGCAATGCTTTTCTGCTAGATCATCTTTCGACAATGCAAATGGGTCAGAGTGTTATAGATCTTTATTTTCACATAGATCTAATAGTGACTTTGGATATGGCTAGCTTCACAGTGGCCTTGGCTCTGAATGGCTCTCCTGCATGTCTCCGGAGAACCTTGGGTAAATGGACGCCTTAGCCATCGGTTACTTTTCAGTAAGGCGCCAATGAGGTTTCAGCATTCAATCGTGTTTCAGCATACATCTGAGACCATAAACAGGCTAAATGGACACATTGGCCTTCAGCACTATTAATTCCAGTATCGTTTGAGATGGTGGGTTTACACTGGCTATTTAGGACACTTCTGTCAAGGTCTGGAATTTGAGTGTTTGATGAAACTTTATGTCCATACAGTTTACATGTAGAAATTATCAAAGTCAACTTTGAATTATGGGGTTTTAAAATTACCACAAATAGGTTGTGTCCAAATGTTGCAAAATTTTAAATAAATAACTGAATTTGAATTTAAAAAAATAAATAAAAAAAATGTTCAAATAAATCAGATTTTAAGAAGAAAAAAAACATTTAGATTAAAAGAGATTTTAATTCCAGATCAAAATATCATTTTAGAATGCAAATGTAAGAGTTCTTGCATTCAAATCATATTCATTGAATTCAAATGTTTTACTTTTTGAATTCATCGATCTAATTTGTTTTATTTAAATATATATACCATGGTATTCAGTTTTGTAATGTTTGAAAAACTAACCTCTAAGAAATTATTTTAAAAATCAGATTTGTCCACACCAGTTTTACCTTTGATACTATTTATAGTTTTATCAGATTTGACCACACCAGTTTTACCTTTAATACTATTCGTAGTTTATCGGATTTGGCCACACCAGTTTTACCTTTGATACTATTTATAGTTTTATCAGATTTGACCACACCAGTTCTACCTTTGATCCTATTCGTAGTTTTATCAGATTTGGCCACACCAGTTCTACCTTTGATACTATTTATAACTTTATCAGATTTGGCCACACTAGTTTTACCTTTGATACTATTTATAGTTTTATCAGATTTGACCACTCCAGTTCTACCTTTGATACTATTTATAGTTTTATCACATTTGACCACACCAGTTTTACCTTTTATACTATTCGTAGTTTTATCAGATTTGACCACACCAGTTCTACCTTTGATACTATTCGTAGTTTTATCAGATTTGGCCACACCAGTCTTACCTTTGATACTATTCGTAGTTTTATCAGATTTGACCACACCAGTTCTACCTTTGATACTATTTATAACTTTATCAGATTTGGCCACACTAGTTTTACCTTTGATACTATTCGTAGTTTTATCAGATTTGGCCACACCAGTTCTACCTTTGATACTATTCATAGTTTTATAAGATTTGACCACACCAGTTTTACCTTTGATACTATTCGTAGTTTTATCAGATTTGGCCACACCAGTTTTACCTTTGATACTATTCATAGTTTTATAAGATTTGACCACACCAGTTCTACCTTTTATACTATTCGTAGTTTTATCAGATTTGGCCACGCCAGTTCTACCTTTGATACTATTCATAGCTTTATAAGATTTGACCACACCAGTTTTACCTTTGATACTATTCATAGTTTTATAAGATTTGACCACACCAGTTCTTCCTTTGATACTATTCGTAGTTTTATCAGATTTGTCCCCACCAGTTTTACCTTTGATACTATTCGTAGTTCTATCAGATTTGACCACACCAGTTCTACCTTTTATACTATTCGTAGTTTTATCAGATTTGACCACACCAGTATTACCTTTGATACTATTTATAGTTTTATCAGACTTGTCCACACCAGTTTTACCTTTGATACTATTCATAGTTTTATAAGATTTGACCACACCAGTTCTACCTTTTATACTATTCGTAGTTTTATCAGATTTGACCACCCCAGTTCTACCTTTGATACTATTTATAACTTTATCAGATTTGGCCACACTAGTTTTACCTTTGATACTATTCGTAGTTCTATCAGATTTGACCACACCAGTTTTACCTTTAATACTATTCGTAGTTTATCGGATTTGGCCACACCAGTTTTACCTTTGATACTATTCATAGTTTTATAAGATTTGACCACACCAGTTTTACCTTTGATACTGTTTATAGTTTTATCAGATTTGACCCCACCAGTTCTACCTTTGATACTATTCGTAGTTTTATCAGATTTTACCACACCAGTTCTGCCTGTGATACTATTTATAGTTTTATCAGATTTGTCCACAACAGTTTTACCTTTGATACTATTCGTAGTTCTATCAGATTTGACCACACCAGTTCTACCTTTTATACTATTCGTAGTTTTATCAGATTTGGCCACACCAGTTCTACCTTTGATACTATTCGTAGTTTTATCAGATTTGTCCACACCAGTTTTACCTTTGATACTGTTTATAGTTTTATCAGATTTGACCACACCAGTTCTACCTTTGATACTATTTATAGTTTTATCAGATTTGGCCACACCAGTTTTACCTTTGATACTATTCATAGTTTTATAAGATTTGACCACACCAGTTCTACCTTTGATACTATTTATAACTTTATCAGATTTGACCACACCAGTTTTACCTTTGATACTATTCGTAGTTTTATCAGATTTGACCACACCAGTTCTACCTTTGATACTACTTATAGTTTTATCAGATTTGGCCACACCAGTTTTACCTTTGATACTAGTTATAGTTTTATCAGATTTGGCCACACCAGTTCTACCTTTGATACTATTCATACTTTTATCAGATTTGACCACACCAGTTCTACCTTTGATACTATTTATAGTTTTATCAGATTTGACCACACCAGTTTTACCTTTGATACTGTTCGTAGTTTATCGGATTCGGCGGCTGCTCTGTTCTCATCAATGACTATATTTTCACTGGATTCATTTTGTGCGAACATTTATTAACTGCAAAATCAGTGAAAGTAAGTATTGTATATTACGGCTTCTTAGCCAAAGTAGCTGTAGGAGTCAACACTGCTTCATGTCATTGTCTGCCATGACATTGTATTGTCTGCCATGACATTGTATTGTCTGCCATGACATTGTATTGTCTGCCATGACATTGTATTGTCTGCCATGACATTGTATTGTCTGCCATGACATTGTATTGTCTGCCATGACATTGTATTGTCTGCCATGACATTGTATTGTCTGCCATGACATTGTATTGTCTGCCATGACATTGTATTGTCTGCCATGACATTGTATTGTCTGCCATGACATTGTATTGTCTGCCATGACATTGTATTGTCCGCCATGACATTGTATTGTCGGCCATGACATTGTATTGTCGGCCATGACATTGTATTGTCTGCCATGACATTGTATTGTCCACCATGACATCAACAACCAGAATGTTGTACACATTTGGACTTGTTTGCAGTGGCAAAACATAACACAAAACTATAAAACAGACAATAATAAAATTTGCCATAACTGCATTAACCCTTTCACTACTGTAGACCATAATAGACGCATCCCAATAAATGCATGGTAGAGTCCATTAAAGTGACCTAGGGTTGAAAGGGTTAAGAGAGTTCCTGCAAGAAAGGAAAGTAGAAAATTGTTAATTTAACTACGATGTACATGTACATTGCCAAGTTTGATTGTTTATTGGTCGATGTCTATTGTTTTATTTCTTTCTAATGTCACAGGCAAAGATGGGTATATGTATTCCAAGGGTTCACTGATCGCCATCAGAGAGGTTAGCAAGGTTTACAGTGATGTGATGTACTAAATCAATTACTTCCTTTTCTCGAGGGAACCATTCTGTTAAGTGTGGTCTGGGAGGTATAGTACCGGAGCAGTTACACCGCCCTAGACTATATTATACGAGAACAGTTCCCGCAGGAAATGTACATGATAAATGATTTGACATTGTGACTGCAAAACACGACACTACAGTAATTATTCTTCTGACTTCAATAATCACTGTCAATTGAAATGCAAATAATTTGTTTATGTCAGAACCTACGCGAGAAATCCCTATCCTTGATGATCTCTGTAGATATGGTCATAATTCTGACGTTACTATGGAAATACGATGTAAGTGCATGTTGTCTCGTTGAGGTATGTTGTACATAGTCACTAGGCCCGAATACTAACAAAATTAACATACAGGAACAGAAACAATACTGATTGAGCTTTGATTCCCCTTGTGATTGGCTTCACTAACTGTGAAAGATGCCTTCGCATTACATTCCATTGAATGGAAGGATGCAGAGCAAATGTAAATATATTCCCTTAACCTAAACATAACTGTTCATTATAAGGTAGTTACGTTGTCAATATGCAGCTAATTTTGTCGACAGTTTCGTTGTCTGAGCTGATCATTAACCTTTTTGTGACCTTGACTCATCAGAGACCAAAAAATACATGAAGACATTGACCTAAAATGGCTGTGCATTTTTTTCTACTGAAGCACTCCATCCCTTACAAGCCCCTTTTATCCTTTTTCAGGTTCAAGTCTGCCATCACCATAATTTACCTTAATTACTTAAAAAAAAGGATTCGAGCATTATGGTTGTTCGTTGCAATCGTTCTGTAATTGTTTCAAGTTGCTGTAATTGCTAATTAAGCATCTAGAGTGCCTATTAGGCCAAATAGGGTACATGTGTACAGTAAAAGTGGGAATTGTCACGGTGTTCAAATGCTCATGTTCTTTTGGTTGCCAAAATATCCACACATGAATACTTGTTAATATATAATGTAGATATTAGAATATGTATATTTCAAAATCGTTACTAATACGAAAATGTCCACACCATAATCAGTTTGGAGAATCACAACACGAACATTTCCTCTTTAACAGTATGTGTTTTTACTTCTAAATGAAAATGATGCTATACTTGTCATAGTTATAAGCAAGCAGAGTTGTGCCATCCTTATCTATGAATGCGGTCCTCAGTTTGCTGTAATTAATACATATATGTGGTTGTTATGTTACAGGTATACGGTTAGTGTTGCGTGGTAAATCCCACGTGGAGTGGAAAATCAACAAGGCAGGCGAGCGACGTTATGTACGCGATGACGAATACTATATTGATGAGAAAAGGGTCGTCTGGGGCAAAGGTGAGTTACATCACTTCCTGAATGTAACAAACGATGGCATGGCTTCCTGAGGTGAGAGTTTTAAGAGCAAGTGTAATTTTAGTCTGTGCTTCAAGAGCAACTCTCGTGTCAATTTTCAAATAATTTAATTGAGGTAGCATGAAAAACTAAGAACGGGATTTTGATGCATGTACGATGACAGTAAAACCAACTCTTTTTACGCCCAAAGGATGACTTTGGATATCTGTGAATAGTAAAACGTGTTTATAGCAAACACCTTCCTCGATACTCCAGTAAGCGTGACCCCGGGGTATGGAGAACAAGAAACCCCAGCAGACTGTAATTCTAGAGAAAAGTTATTATTGAAGAGTGTTGTGTTCATGGCAAGGTACACTTGTTTATACAGAACACAATTTATTTGCGTTCATATATCAACGCATGCAACGCCAATCGGTCAGGACACGGAAAGATGTTGCGCAGATGTTACTTCGGACAACATTTCGTCAGTGACATTGATACGTATATATACAATGTAGTATGATTGCGGAAAGAGCACTTAATTAGCATGTTTTGAAATCTTTGTAATTTTATAACAATTTTCTGAAGTGATTCGTTGCTAATGAATGTTTGCAACAGGTTCATGCAACTTTTACCACAGCACACCGTAGTAATCATCAGTCAGAATCATAATACATTATAATTATACAACTTCTACAGTCTAAATAATTGCATATTAATGATTCTGGTCCCTGTATATCTAATCAGCGGGGCGTGCAAGGCTCATTTGTCCTCATGGGAGACAGATATGCCACGAGTTCGATAGATTATCCTGCTTCTGACAATAACACACCAGACTGCTGACTGCATGAATTAACCAGTAGCATTATTGTCCAGACAGTTTCATAAACCATCAGTTGTTCATCTCCCTCATTCGTAGTCATGTGAATTATGTAAATATTCATCAGCCGACATCACAATGCTTAAAAGTCTGTTGAAGTGATAAAAAGCCAGAATTGGTCAGAAAAAGGAATATAATATTGCCTTCTGGCCCAGGTTGACTGTGGGTCTAGGTTGTTAGAAAGCATTTGGTCTCACCTAAGGTAGACACAGTGTTGTGAAATATGACATTAGTGTTCACGATACTCTGTCTATTCAGTAACGTCATGCTACCTATGCTGTAACAAGTAAAATGTGAATAAAAAATAAGTTGATTGAAGAGAAATACGAGTCAGGTGTCTGTTACTGCAGTCACAAAACAACATGTTTAAAGCCCAGTATTGATGGCTGTTATAATTGAAACTCTAAACAGAATCTCAGAATGTCACCTTCCAAAAGAGCTTCGATCTTCGAGAGAGTAATCGTACTGCTCTAGTGCTGTTACTTACTATTCTGAATCAGGTGTCACAGGTGGTATCTGTGGAAAGTTCAGCAGCATTCCTTTGATAGTGAAACCCCCACCATTTACATCACTTTATAGGTCTTTTAAAAAGTGAAATGTTGCTGAAATTTAGATTTCCACAAACATGCATCTTATAAAATGTGTCTGAACTGCATTGTGGTAAAATCTGTGATTTCTCGGGCTGAAACAATACTGAAAAATGGGGTTCGTCCCCACCTGCTCAGAACGGGTCTTTGTATTTAGTGGCATTGGAAGACATGCCTCAATGGTAAGAAAAATTTAAATATGTATTCCAGTATGATTTGCAGTATTGTAAAATATGAAGATATTATAATGCTTTTCTTTGGTTGCAGTAATAAGATATTATAATACTTTTCTTTGGTTGCAGTAATAAGTAAAAATATTGGCTAAATATTAAGCTAAAGAAATATGGCATGTTCACTGCATCAGACATTCATAGTGCATTCTGATAGGCTTCAGACTCTCGTGTAAATCAGACATAAGCCGGCTGGGGCCATCAGGTTTCTATGTGTGGCTACAGAACAGATTTTACCTGGTCCACAATATGAACAGTCAAAAAGACAAATTTTAATCACAGACTACATAAAAAGTGTGGTAGGTGAAAGTACCTGAACCAAAAGTGTTTTATTTAAGGTCACACTAAGTACAAACATACTTTTTATTATTCTGATGTTTATATTGTTAATTTGATATCATTAATGGTATTTATGGAAATTTGCTAAAAGAAAAACAACCATAATGCCTTGTTGCTTCCCAGTGGTAAACTATTGCTGAATGGCAGTGAAAACCCATCTTTGTTCTGTTGGTATCACAGTCTGTAATATAAAGAAATTGAAATCAAAATTGATTACCAAGCAATCCTGAATAAATTTCATCCATTTTATTTGTTCAATGTGTCTGTCCTCGTGAAGCTTCTGTCGTTTACTGTTGACAGACCAAGCACACCTGGGTTAGATTGTCTATAACTGTAATGTGCGTGTGTGCAGACTTGTTAGTACTGAGGATTGATTTTTTAATGTCTTATCTGTTATATCGTCTATACAAATGAATTGTCTCCGCACAAGATCACACAGGAGTTCACATTGATGTTTGGAGTGAGAATCACACTGTTACCAATTGATTGGTCGTTTCTCTTGACAGAAAAATCAACTCTGTAAACAATGGTTTTAATGCGAATAAAAAAAAAACGGAGACATTTTTTGAGGAAGCTGTCACATTAAAGCACAATAGTTGACAGAGTGGAATGCCATAAACGCAAATTTCTGACAATCGCTCCATTTTGGATTTCATAAATCTTATTGTCATTTCCAAAAAATATGTAAAATAGGAGAAGATATGTCGACTATATCTTCACTGAAATGGATGTATAAATGGCTGTTCTGATGATTATTCGTCCGGGAATCACTGTAGATTTATCAGTACAGCCAAGTTTCCTTAACCACTCTTTATCAGCTCGAGGTTCTCAAGAGGACATTCACATTAATATACTAAAGAGCTGCAGTCAAATACTTAAACGCCAATTTAGTTGATTGACATATCAGTACATGAGCGCAGAAATATGGAATTAGAATATTACTGAGGTGCATATAACACTTGCACCTTGACAGATAATGTGCTTTTTTGTATTTCCTTTCCTGTAAATATTTCAAACACAATACAACAATTTATTCCCAATGAAATTACATGCACTTTAAATGTGTTATCTTGACAACTGCGTAATTTCCATCCGGCTCAAATTTTGCACTCAATTTAATTTCCCCTCACAATAGCAATGTCCGGAGGGTCCCTAAGACCATTCCCAAATCTCGAAAGTCATGTTGTAGCAGTTTATAATCTTTTCCCATTAAATGTTTACTTACAGTGCAGTTATCAAATAATTACTTCTAAATCCAGTTTTCACAGCTCAGAGAACATAGAAATGACACCCATCAAGTTAGCCAGGATGTGGTAGATATCCAAAAATATAGGAACACTTGAATCATTCTACAGTATTACATGAATTTTTAAAGCATGTTTTATTCAATTTTCTTAAATACTCAAAAAATGTACATTATTGATTGAAAAGTTCTCATATTTGAATGTTCAAAATGTGGCTGTTTTGCAGGAAAATGTTGAATAAATCTGAGCAACAGATAAAATACATGAATTTTTAACAATCAAAAATGTCTTACATTTACTGTACCATATGTTGTGTGGAAGGTTGTATAGCCTAGAAAGACATAATGTTTAGCTTCATGTGGTCGGTGTACATGTATATATACTAAATTGCAGACATTTGATCAAATGTTTAAGTAAAGATGAAACTCTGTATTTATTTTATAACTATATGTACTTAACAACACTAGATTTCAAAAGTCTTGATCTGAGTTAGACTGGCCCCTGTCTCTAGAATAGTATATCAATATAGAATTATCTAGAAAAAAATAACTCTTAAAACTTAAATCACTTGGATGTCTCCTAAGCTATAAACTAGGGTGAGATAAGCTTAGGCTGTAAACTAGGGTGAGATAAGCTTAGGCTGTAAACTAGGAGGAGATAAGCTTAGGCTGTAAACTAGGGGGAGATAAGCTTAGGCTGTAAACTAGGGGGAGATAAGCCTAGGCTGTAAACTAGGGGGAGATAAACTAGTAGTAAAATGCAGTTGAGAAATTCTTTATAAAAACTTGGGGGCTGGTAGCCAGTCTAGATCAGAGCGGCCGTGGATTGTAACTCAAGTTACAATACAATTACTCATGAAGCCAAGACGTGTAAAGATTAATAGCTTCGGTATATTTGATGAAGATCTCCAAATGTCCTCCGAGAACTGTGTCACCAATGAATATATTAGGTCCTGAAAGAAGGTGAAGGTCACTGGACCAGAGTTCCGAGTCCGAGTGTGATCAAACACATGTGATCCAATCAGCTTCCATTCAAACTACACAGCCTGCCATCGAGCTGATTTGATGATTGTTGACATGCTGTTCCCAACGGTCATAAAATATCGCAGACTGTTTAAACAATGGTTGATAGCAAAACACACAAATGAAACTTAGTCGATCACTTGTGCTGACCGCATTAATGGTTCCAAACACCTGCTCTGATCAGCCACAGTTTAAACATAAGTGATTGATTGCTTCGTAAATTAATTCCAGTGATGTATAAATTTGATTTATTGATTAAATTTTATTCATTTTTTTGGGTATTATTTGGTCAGTACCAATACAGTACAGGTTGGTGCAGTCCTGGCTGTGTGACAGCTTAGTGGGACGGTGCTGTCCTGGCTGTGTTACAGCTTGGTGGGATGGTGCTGTCATGGCTGTGTGACAGTTTGGTAGGTTGGTGATGCTCTGACTGTGTGACAGCTTTGTGGGACAGTGCAGTCCTGGATGTGTGACAGCTTGGTGTGATTGTGCTGTCCTGGTTGTGTGACGGCTTGGTGTGATGGTGCTGTCCTGGATGTGTGACAGCTTGGTGGGGTGGTGCTGTCCTGGCTGTGTGACAGCTTGGTGTGATTGTGCTGTCCTGGTTGTGTGACAGCTTGGAGTGATGGTGCTGTCCTTGCTGTGTGACAGCTTGGGGTGACGGGGCTGTCCTGGCTGTGTGTGACAGCTTGGTGTTACGGTGCTGTCCTGGCTCTGTGACAGCTTGGTGGGCCGGTGCTGTCCTGGCGGTGTGACAGCTTGGTGGGGTGGTGCTGTCCTGGCTGTGTGTGACAGCTTGGTGTTATGGTGCTGTCCTGGTTGTGTGACGGCTTGGTGTGATGGTGCTGTCCTGGTTGTGTTACAGCTTGGTGGGATGGTGCTGTCCTGGCTGTGTGACAGCTTGGTAAGTTGGTGATGTCCTGACTGTGTGACAGCTTGGTGTGATGGTGCTGTCCTGGTTGTGTGACAGCTTGGTGTGATGGTGCTGTCCTTTCTGTGTGACAGCTTGGTGGGACTGTGCAGTCCTGGCTGTGTGACAGCTTGGTAGGTTGGTGATGTCCTGACTGTGTGACAGCTTGGTGTGACGGTGCTGTCCTGGCTGTGTGACAGCTTGGTGGGACGGTGCAGTCCTGGTTGTGTGACAGCTTGGTAAGTTGGTGCTGTCCTGGCTGTGTGACAGCTTGGTGTGACGGTGCAGTCCTGGCTGTGTGACAGCTTGGTGGGACGGTGCAGTCCTGGCTGTGTGACAGCTTGGTGGGACGGTGCAGTCCTGGCTGTGTGACAGCTTGGTGGGACGGTGCAGTCCTGGCTGTGTGACAGCTTGGTGGGACGGTGCAGTCCTGGCTGTGTGACAGCTTGGTGGGACGGTGCAGTCCTGGCTGTGTGACAGCTTGGTGGGACGGTGCAGTCCTGGCTGTGTGACAGCTTGGTGGGACGGTGCAGTCCTGGCTGTGTGACAGCTTGGTGGGACGGTGCAGTCCTGGCTGTGTGACAGCTTGGTGGGACGGTGCAGTCCTGGCTGTGTGACAGCTTGGTGGGACGGTGCAGTCCTGGCTGTGTGACAGCTTGGTGGGACGGTGCAGTCCTGGCTGTGTGACAGCTTGGTGGGACGGTGCAGTCCTGGCTGTGTGACAGCTTGGTGGGACGGTGCAGTCCTGGCTGTGTGACAGCTTGGTGGGACGGTGCAGTCCTGGCTGTGTGACAGCTTGGTGGGACGGTGCAGTCCTGGCTGTGTGACAGCTTGGTGGGACGGTGCAGTCCTGGCTGTGTGACAGCTTGGTGGGACGGTGCAGTCCTGGCTGTGTGACAGCTTGGTGGGACGGTGCAGTCCTGGCTGTGTGACAGCTTGGTGGGACGGTGCAGTCCTGGCTGTGTGACAGCTTGGTGGGACGGTGCAGTCCTGGCTGTGTGACAGCTTGGTGGGACGGTGCAGTCCTGGCTGTGTGACAGCTTGGTGGGACGGTGCAGTCCTGGCTGTGTGACAGCTTGGTGGGACGGTGCAGTCCTGGCTGTGTGACAGCTTGGTGGGACGGTGCAGTCCTGGCTGTGTGACAGCTTGGTGGGACGGTGCAGTCCTGGCTGTGTGACAGCTTGGTGGGACGGTGCAGTCCTGGCTGTGTGACAGCTTGGTGGGACGGTGCAGTCCTGGCTGTGTGACAGCTTGGTGGGACGGTGCAGTCCTGGCTGTGTGACAGCTTGGTGGGACGGTGCAGTCCTGGCTGTGTGACAGCTTGGTGGGACAGTGCAGTCCTGGCTGTGTGACAGCTTGGTGGGACGGTGCAGTCCTGGCTGTGTGACAGCTTGGTGGGACGGTGCAGTCCTGGCTGTGTGACAGCTTGGTGGGACGGTGAGGTCCTGGCTGTGTGACAGCTTGGTAGGACGGTGCTGTCCTGGCTGTGTGACAGCTTGGTGTGACAGTGAGGTCCAGGCTGTGTGACAGCTTGGTAAGTTGGTGCTGTCCTGGCTGTGTGACAGCTTGGTGGGATGGTGATGTCCTGGCTGTCTGACAGCTTGTTGGGACGGTGCAGTCCTGGCTGTGTGACAGCTTGGTAGGTTGGTGATGCTCTGACTGTGTGACAGCTTGGTGTGATGGTGCTGTCCTGGCTGTGTGACAGCTTGGTGGGATGATGCTGTCCTGGCTGTGTGACAGCTTGGTGGGACGGTGAGGTCCTGGCTGTGTGACAGCTTGGTGGGACGGTGCTGTCCTGGCTGTGTGACAGCTTGTTGGGATTGTGCAGTCCTGGCTGTGTGACTGCTTGGTGGCCTGGGTTGGTGCTGTCCTGGCTGTGTGACTGCTTGTTGGGATGGTGCTGTCCTGGCTGTGTGACAGCTTGGTGGGATGGTGCTGTCCTGGCTGTGTGACTGCTAGGTGGCCTGGGTTGGTGCTGTCCTGGCTTTGTGACAGCTTGGTGGGGCGGTGCTGTTCTGGCTGTGTGACAGCTTGGATGGGCGGTGCTTTGAGACAAATAATTGATGCATTAATCCAAAATCCAGGAATGTTAGAAGCAGCTTCATAACCCTGCCTCCAATTGGGAGCAGTGAGTCGTCCATGTTTAACCAAATGATAATGTGTACTCACAGTCTGATACTGGTTCTGAGATTGACCAGTCCCATAATTAATGCCCATAAGTTCTGTTGCGTTTATCATTTGACCATTATCTTATATGACAAACCGGGTTGGGGGGGGTGTCCCAATAACGCATTGATGCATGTGATAATAGTTTAAGGTGGCTCCACACATCGTCATCAGTGTCCATATTCGTGACGCTGCTGAGCAGGTTTCGCTTTGTTGATTAATTCATTTTTACAAATGCATTGCACCTACTCTGTGAGAATAGTGTTTTGTAAAATATCAAGAACCCTATGAAAATGCATGTGTGGGTGCACATGAGAACAGCATACCATGCGATAGCCTCTGGTCACATATGTACCTGACATGTAAACATACCATGCGATAGCCTCTGGTCACATATGTACCTGACATGTAAACATACCATGCGATAGCCTCTGGTCACATATGTACCTGACATGTAAACATACCATGCGATAGCCTCTGGTCACATATGTACCTGACATGTAAACATACCATGCGATAGCCTCTGGTCACATATGTACCTGACATGTAAACATACCATGCGATAGCCTCTGGTCACATATGTACCTGACATGTAAACATACCATGCGATAGCCTCTGGTCACATATGTACCTGACATGTAAACATACCATGCGATAGCCTCTGGTCACATATGTACCTGACATGTAAACATACCATGCGATAGCCTCTGGTCACATATGTACCTGACATGTAAACATACCATGCGATAGCCTCTGGTCACATATGTACCTGACATGTAAACATACCATGCGATAGCCTCTGGTCACATATGTACCTGACATGTAAACATACCATGCGATAGCCTCTGGTCACATATGTACCTGACATGTAAACATACCATGCGATAGCCTCTGGTCACATATGTACCTGACATGTAAACATACCATGCGATAGCCTCTGGTCACATATGTACCTGACATGTAAACATACCATGCGATAGCCTCTGGTCACATATGTACCTGACATGTAAACATACCATGCGATAGCCTCTGGTCACATATGTACCTGACATGTAAACATACCATGCGATAGCCTCTGGTCACATATGTACCTGACATGTAAACATACCATGCGATAGCGGGCTGTGGAATGGTGTCCAAAGTGTACATGTGACTGAGGGCAATTTGGTTCCATAAAAGAACAATAAATTGACAACACTGATATCATGATTTTAATTTATTTCCATCACTTTTGATATATGTAGAAAGAGATAACTGTCATTGTGTAAATTTTATCCCTCTGTGAACAGTTTTTTTCAAGGAAGACAACTCTCACCAGGATCAAAGTGATTGTAAAATGTAAAATGAATTAATTGTAAAGCCATTTTGTATATTTTGTACAATTTCCCACTCTTTATGAATGAATCTTTGTGTCCTGTTTGCTTTTAGCTTATAGATAATCACTTTTATCCGTACAATTCTAATAAAAAACACTTTGTGTAACGTGTTTTATATATTTTGCGATAAAGAAAATATTTGTGTAGTTAAGCAGTAATGCTTCTTTTAATTTTGTTATTGTTGTTATTGTTCTGAACAGTGCTGCACACACACAAAAATGTAAAATATTAAAATTGACGAAAACTCATTTTTTGGTATTCTTTTCCAAAAAAATCCAAACTATAGGAATGCTTAGATTTTCATAAAATGAACTTTACATAGTTGCATAACCATTATATAAAAGTTTCAACGAATTTTGCTGGTTAATGTCGATAGTGTGGAGCCTCCTTTTATATGTTGTTTAAACACGTCTCTTATATATTCTCAACTAAAAATATTTTCTGTTGCAATTTGTTTGAGGTAAAACCATAGAATGACTAGACTATTAAGACATTCAATATATGATGTAAAAAAAAAAAGGATAAAAACAAAAAACTAAAATTGTATGTGTTGAAAGTGAGATTTTTGTAAAAAAAAATCTATGGTTAAGTATTACATATACCCGATATTTCATTTAAGTAAATAATGTTTTTATATATTACAGACAAGAAGGATGATGGACCTGCCCCTATCATGCCCCGAGGAAACCACAGATATCCATTTGAGTTCAAACTGCCCGAGAGTGCTCTCCCCTGCTCACTAGAGAGCAAGATGGGCACGATACGGTACTATGTGCGGAGTACCATGGATATCCCTTACGCCTCATCTCCACAAAGCGTCAAGTATTTTTCAATAATAGGGCCACACATAGACTGTATGGATGAGCGGTTCCTGGTAAGTCTGATAGATGCCTCTCAGAGATTCCGATCCCCGCCTCCAAAATCAGACTTTAGGACATGTAACACTAGAGTACATTTGACTATTTATCCTGTTGTACTAGTAGCAGCCTTGCTCAGTAAAACATGCAGCTGGTACATAGCTGTATCTTTACATAGCTGTATCATTACATAGCTGTATCATCACATAGCTGTATCTTTACATAGCTGTATCATCACATAGCTGTATCTTTACATAGCTGTATCATTACACAGCTGTATCATCACATAGCTGTATCATTACATAGCTGTATCATTGCATAGCTGTATCATTACATAGCTGTATCATCACATAGCTGTATCATTACATAACTGTATCATCACATAGCTGTATCTTAACATAGCTGTATCATTACATAGCTGTATCATTACATAGCTGTGTCATTACATAGTGGTATCATCACATACCTGTATCATCTCATACCTGTATCATCACATAGCTGTATCATCACATAGCTGTATCTTTACATAGCTGTATCATTACACAGCTGTATCATCACA